CGCCTCCAGCACTGGGCCCAGCACCTTGATCAAAGGCAGCAGCGCCATATTGGTCCCATGCTGCTTTCTTCTGCGGGTCCGTGAGCAGCTCGTAGGCGGATTGGGCTTCTGCGAATTTGTCTTTGGCGGTCGGGTCCTTGTTTGTGTCGGGGTGGAACTTTTTGGCTAGGCCATAGTATGCTTTCTTGATATCGCCTGCGGAAGATCCCTTGTCGACGCCGAGGACTGTGTAAGGGTTCTTGGTTGCTAGGTGGCGGGATGTTGCGTGGAAGGCCTTTGGGGTCATGTCAGTCTCTACATAGGGGGTTTGAATGTTGAGTTGGATGAAGACTCACTCTTTTCTGTGTTGTCCCTGAAGTTTTTTGAGCTGGCATTAATAGCTTTGAACGCGGCGATCGAGCGGGTGCAGTGCATATCGATCGAGTTTGCGTATTCGAGGCATCATTGCGGAAGCATTGCGGTCGGGATGTCTGGGTAGGACATACGATCCGGGTCGTTGCGGCAGCTTTGGTGAGAAGGCTTGTTTTACCAGCGTTCATGGTGTTGTATTTTCAGTTCATTGGTGCCAATCTATAGTTCCTATTATACTCAGACTCTGGTGTCAGTCGGGGGTGGATGGATTGGCGTTGATGTGGTTTGTATTTTAAGTGAGTATTAAAGTTGACATGTTATGATCAGGGCAGAAGTAACTTTTTTTTTTTGAGTCGCCGCTGATTGGATGAAGATTGGCTCTAAACCCCGAACGCGGGAGAGGTTTCTGGAACACTCTCAGCCTCAGCCTCGGTCTTTAAATTTTGTATTACCCAATATACATCTTTTACGAAGTATTAATGTGAACCGTGTATTTGTTATTTATGGCTCTTCTAGATTTATCTCCGTTTCATATGAATGATAGAAAGTTAAATTGTATCACTCTTTCTGAGGTAGAAAATTACCTCCCTAGTCACAGAAGTGTTGGAGGTGATATAAAGCTATAATCCCTCACCTATTGAGAAACAATGGAGGTGAATAAGAGGAAGTCAGCCAACGTTTAATGAGAACATCTCTTGACGTTATGGAGCATGGATCTTTTTAAGGTGGTGGTTGTGTTATAGCGGAACAGCTGCCGTGAATTCAAGGTCACTTTCCTCAGCCTTCATACTGGCGCGTAAAGTGTCCAACCACGCGTTTAACCGCGATATATGTAAATATACTAGGCAATTATAAATTGGTAATGACTTTGTTGTATTCATTAAGAAGTCGTGATGCCGCTAAGAATTTAATTTGGGTATCGTCCTTGCTAGAACGCCATATTACGCCAATTTCACTTCCCAGCCCAACGCAATACCTAGCACAATCCAGCAACATCAATGCCACCGAGGTTCATATGGGGCCCCCTATTAACATTGGGTTATTGTCGAGGGCGGTGAGGGTCAAATCGCATTCGAAAATTCTTGTCTGCAGAGCTATCAGTCTTTATTCCGCCACGATTCAGTTCTCTCCCAGGCAGATCTCAAAACAAACTCACCTTGAAATCGAACTTTGTACAGAAAATCCACCACAATCTCATTCTCCACGATCCCCATGTTGTTAAAATGTTTGCGAGCAGTATTCGCGAGTTGTTCGTGGGTCTGCCGCCTCTGTTCCTTCTTCCTAGCCATCGTGGGAGACATCCGCCCGATTGCTGATTGCGAGAGAATGAGTCGATTATAGGGCTTGTTGAAGGAAGACGGTGTATTTAATCGATAGCCGTATCGATAGTTGTTTAGAGTTGAGGAGTCGAAGCTTGCCCAGTCAATCTATTTGCAGAGCTGTCGTTAGTTAGAGAAGCTCTCGAGCAGGATTCACAGCTTACAGTTGTACTGGGAGCTGCTTCTGTGTTTCCTACAGCTGTGTTACTCTGTCCCGCTGAGATTACTTCACGTAGTGAACTTCCTCCTGCGACGATTCCGCCTACGCGTCGACCTTTGCCATTGGGAGCATTCGAGGAGTTTGGCCCAGCCTTTTCTTTTGTGCTCGACGCATCGGACCTGGAGTCGTCATGTTGGGGTTTAGATCTTGGAGGTGGCATGACGGATTGATGCAAGATTCTGCTGAGACACGGCCAAATTTGCGAGGTGATTGACAAGTGGTAGTGAAGTATTGGTGGTTCAAGGCGAATCCTAATGAATCCTCACCAAAGTCGCGACGCAGCCTCTTGCACGCGCACGCGCCACAGCCATAGGTAAAGTGGAGTGAGTGGTCTTCCCACTAGCCAAATCGTTTATCCGCTTCTTATCAAGCTATCACCTCGTGACTCTTCTCCAATTCTGTCCAAGCCTAGGTAGGTAGGGTAAGGTAGGGTAGGCTAGTTCTCTCTCTCTCTCTCTCTCTGCCGCTCATATTCTTCCCGTATCGTCGGCCTCTCCGCATCTTCAATAATCTCTTACCTTTCCTTTCCCATATCTGCGGCATTTTCTACCTTTATTACTACGCACGTTGATGCTTGGCGACCAGAAAATGAGATTTTCTCCAATTTCAAAGCACTGTCTCCCGTTTCCCTTTTCTATTGCGCCTGCATATTTACCATGCATGAACATAAGCCAAGGCGCCAGAGCGAGCATCTGATTGCTGCCCTGACGCCGTCTCGCAAATCAGCTTGATGGAAAGCTGGTCAGATGGAAAAGAAAAAGCTTGAAGGATTTTACCCCCGTCTCAGCCCCCAACCTCCCTCCTCTCCTCTCCTCTCCCCTCCCCAGACATCGGGATGGTGCATAACCGACCTCAGGTGAGATAAACCGAGCCAAAGAGAGAGGTTTCTACAAAAGCAGTTACATGCATTAAAGCCATGCATTCCCGGCTGCTTGGACTTTCTGCACGTAGTAATGACCTGCGCGGCGAAGCATTTCTCTTCCTTGCAATTTTCCCCATGCTTTTCAAAGCCTCGTGGGGTAGATGGAACTGCTGCTTTTCTTTCTGGTAAAGTCTAAGGGAGCGGAGAAGCTCTAAACAATACGGAAAGGGCAAATTCGCTGGTTTAAGTTATCTTGGTCCAGGCCTCTCCTGGTGCAATCTAGAACATTCATAAAGCAATGGCGAAAAAGCAAAGAAGAAACGACTAAAGCTGTCGGAGACAGCGGCAAGAGATGCGAAGACAAGACCAGTGACTTCTGGTGGGATTCAATATCAGTGTTACGACTTGTTGATGCAAAGGAAGTACCGTATCGTATAGACCTCAGAAATGAACCGACAAAGGGATGAGAAGAGGGAGGATTCAAAAATGCGGCTTTCGTGATACATCTTGGCTTTTATATCCGACCCGAATCCTAGACCCGGCTGGACTGATGGTGAAGTTGCGGTTTAACTCAACTCCGGGTCTACACAAGTAGGACAAGGAGGCGGCAGATGATGCCTGTGAGGTTTCTAATGCAGGCTAGAAGGACGGGAATCCGAGAAGGGTTTGCCCCTCTTCCGGGTCATGAGAAGGTTCTATAGACTCCCTATAGTCCGCCAGTAGTAGAGCGCCAGTCTTCCGTCTCTTCTCCTACAGTACATCGGAGTCAACCGAGTTTGCCCCTAGCAAGCCGTGGTTGGATGTCTGTGAGCTGCGAGCTGCGAGCTGCGAGCTGCCTCTTTTCCTTAAGGTGAGACCAGCCAGTACTAAGGTGTACCTTGCTACTTGGTACCGGACCCAACTTGACATACAGTAGCAAGACTCGACGAGAGATGGCTACTGTAAATAAACTTCGGATTCCCTCAGACGCCCCTCGCGCCTCTTGCGCTCTATATAAGCTTATACCCATTTAACCTACGGCTACTCCATGGCTGCCGTGTCTGCCGAGCCTACTGTGCGAAGTATCTAGGTACTCGACTATACCTAGTCCTGGTGGTTCCCGTACGCTACTACTGGTACAATCTACCTTGACCTTGACACTACAGACTAGAGTACGCACGCATCGCGCCGGCCCATACTTCTATGGGGTATATGCCCATGCCCCCATGCCCATGCCCACTGTTGACAGATCCTCAACCCGAACCTCGCCCATGAGCATAAGCATGAGCACGAGCATGAGCATGAGCCATCGTCCATCGTCCATCGCCCGTCCCCCATGCACCGTGCCAGATGCCCCCCGTCGCTAATGCCTGAACTCTTGCTTGCCTTCCGTAGCTAACTACCCTAAAGTCTCCATCTACTACTCTAAATACCCGTGTCGAGACCCCCTCCCCCCTCCCCCCTCCCCACAGCACGAGAAGCTTTTCCAGTCCCTCACGCACTCGTCGTACATACACTGATACATACATACCACTACCACTCTGCCTCACCTCTGCTCCGTACCTACTTCTCCACCTCCACCTCCACTCCACTCCACCACCCCTACCTACACCTCCTTTCTGTATCACGCTGGACAGAAGGCCTCCAGTTGCACACACTCGCACGCCTCGCGCATTCCCTCAGCGTTGTGTAAGCACTTGGCAGCATTCCGTAAGGTTAGGTTGGTTATACGACGACCCCGCGACAACCGCAATTCGGCCAAATCTACCTCCCAGTGTCTCTGCCGTCAGCCTTTGTACGGAGTAGAGACAACTCACCGGCATGACAGCGTCGAACTCGCAGGTCAATTGACCAGTTCCAGAGAGAAGTTGCGAGGAAGTCTGCTCGTATTTGCAGTGCCGCGCCAAGCGCCTCCAGGATAATCCTTATCTTCACTGTTGAAGCTGTCTGCTGTAAGTTTGGTGTTACCTGCCATCTTGCCTCGGATGATCGAGAAAGATCTGCGAGATCTGGACTTTAACCTCCAACTACAACTTTAATCTCTAACTACATCTTTCTGATTCAACACTATGTAGTAGATGTGATCAGCCCCTAGTCCTGCGCTTTGAAGGTCGAGGGCGGTCGAACCAGTTTGGTTTGTATTCTGCGCATTCGCCCGTTCACCAACGACACCCAGGACTATGACTTCAGTTCTCGCAGCGCAACCTCACTCGTTTCCTACGAAGAATATCATGTCACAGACTGATAGCCCTACCATGGCCCAGATACAAGACCCGTCTCTGCGACGCCGTCCAAAAGCAGAACCAGTCGTAGACAAAAGTCGCGGTCGACGTCGAAGCAGAGCTGAGAATGAAAAGGATGATACCGAAGCTGGGGATACTTCGCCCGTAGATGGCGATGGTGGTGAGGGGCATTCATCGGGGACGGATGGCCCTTCACGGAAGCGTCGCAGGAGTCGCAAGGGCTTGGACAAGAAATTTGAATGCCCTCAAGAAGGCTGCGGCAAGAGCTATTCCAGAGCAGAGCACCTGTAGGCTTTCTCCCTGTTTCATTGCGATGCACTGTTGACATGTTATTCGATAGCTACCGGCATCAACTTAATCACACTCCCAAGCAGATCTACAATTGTGACTTCCCGGACTGTACCAGAACATTCGTCCGGCAAGACTTATGTAACAGGCATAAAGATCGCCACACGGCAAAGGGATCTCAATTGCACAGGAAAGATTCTATGATGGGTCATGCCCATGCATCCCCGACGACCGATGCTGGGAAACCATTGTCCATGCACGGCTCAAACTCTCCTGAAGTCATGAGACCAGGCCTTTCCGGTATCAAATCACGCACTAATCAGCTCCAATATCAATCACCTCAGGAGATGAGCCCAAATCCATATTCGCCAGTCATCAACCAACAGCCTAGTACTTATTCTGGTACGGGTTCAGGTGCAGCGGAGATTTACACTCAATCTACTGCTTTCAAGCGCTCAAATAGCGATAGTATGTCTAGAGAGCACACCTCGACCAGTTCTGTGCCAAACAATCGACCTCAGCGTCATGCCAGCTTTGGTGTGTCGGATTGCAAGCCAGCTGAATTTTCAAGGCCAGCTCTACAGACAGCCGTGGGTCCTTACGGACTGCAGTCTTCTGCATCAAACAGTCAAAGTTATCCTCCACCTCAAGCTAGCCCACAAGGATATGTGAACCAACAAAATTTCACCCCATTCACTCTTCCTCCCCCGGGATTCTCAACGTCAGCAGCGAGTACACCAATAGTAACGCGGGAAACAGAGTCGACATATCCGACTTCTATGTCTACTGAATATTCCAATGACCCTATCCAGCATCAGCAATCAGGCCCTGATATGATGCTGCTGGACCAGATGACAGCACCCAATACGATGCCAGTGTTTGGTGGTGAAGGATACAACCGATCACCATTTGCAATCCCAGAAGACTTTGTGGCGTATCTGTTCAGCAACCAGCAACTGGAGAATGCTGCTTCACCTATGGGTCCGATGGGTCCCCAAGCTGGTTATGCGAAGTGAGTTCTCCTATACTTCATTTTTGAGGAACCTCTACTGACTGTATGCAAAGTTACCCGGATTCTGGAAACCAATACTATGCTCCATACTTTGCGAATGATGTCAACATGCCCGGGTTCTTTCCGCCAAATCAGCAACCACATCATCCCATGGCCGTCACTAGTCTTCTAGACACAAGTCTTCCAGAAACCGTCCTCTCTGAAGAGAAGAGCCAGCAGATTATCGATCTCATCAAAGAGCGATTCAACGAGACGGATCATGCACCAGTGGCGAGACAAAAGGAGGCCTTGCTTGAGGGCGATCGTAGTGAAGACAGCCACATGATGAGCCGGAAGATGATGCAGACTTATATTGGAAGCTACTGGGTCCATTTCAGCGCGCAGGTACCAATACGTGAGTCCCTTTACCCACTCTCTCTAACATTAAATGCTAATAATACACTGTTTAGTGCATAAGCCGACATTCTCGCCTGACAAGACACCGAATCTACTCTTAATAGCCATGATTGCTATTGGTGCTTCGTGTCTAGACAAAATGCATGGCTATGAAGTGACACAAGCTGGTGCAGAGCTGTCAAACTTCTTGGCCTGGCATCTGAGATGTAAGTTCACAGCAGTTAAGTAAAGCAGTGATACTGATACTTGATGTATAGGGGAGATCTTTAGCGATTATCATTTCCGGCCTCCGGCGAAATTATGGGTCTTCCAAGCTCTGCTGCTCTTGGAGCTTTATGAAAAGATGTATTCAACAAGAGCATTACACGAACGGGCCCATATTCATCATGCGACGACGATTACACTAATGAGACGCGGCAGCTCACTTATTGGTCGATCAGCTCTTGATTCCCCTCCCAGTGTACGAGATGATAAGCAAGGATTAAATGGATCTCGACACTCTTCTGCATCTGGAGCAAATACACCCGATGAATGGTGGAACCACTGGGTCACGAACGAGGCAACTCGCCGGGCAGCATTCGCAGCATTTGTGATTGATTCTACTCATGCAACAATGTTTGGACACTCGACGGTGATGGTAGCTCACGAGATGCGGCTCCCGCTTCCCTGCGACGAAGCGTTGTGGAATGCGACGAATAGCGCTGAGGTTGGACGCATTGAAGCAGGTCTACATGCCAACGGGGTAAAACCAATTTCGTTCCTAGAGGGTCTTAAGCGGACTTTGAATGCACAGGAAGTGCGGACGAACTCTTTCGGCAGATCGATATTAATGGCCGGGCTTTTGAGTGTAAGTTGGCATATGAACCAACGAGACTTGCAAGTCAACTCTCTTGGGGTTTCACAAGCACTCGGTGGACGAGACAAGTGGCGTGGATCACTAACACGGGCATTCGATCTCTGGAAGCAAGATTTCGACCGCTCTTTGTTGCGAAAAGCAGACAGCGTTCCAGGTCCTTACATGCACCCCGAAAAGAAGGAGGAGAACGCAATCTTTCAAAGCCGAACGGTCCTCCACCACCTTGCCCACATGGCTATGCACGTCGACATTGTCGATTGCCAGATCTTCGCCCGCGCAAAACGCCTCCTAGGCCGCACAATTGGCGCGCAAGATCTCAATAGCGCTCAACGCCGCATGAAAGACACCTGGGCACCGACGGCAAAGGCCCGCGACGCAACCTGGTACGCACTCCGATTCCTATGCAGCGTGCTGGTCCCCGAAGAATCTACGTACCCTGGTCAGGACCCTGCCTTTGACTACTCGGCGCGCGACGATGTGCTCATGAACCGGCCTTGGGTCATGTATTTCGCGGCTCTCATTGTGTGGAGTTATGGCTTTGCTCTCGAAGGACCTTCAACGCAGCCTATCCCCGCACATTACAATTTCGACGCGCAGGTCCAGGATATGCGGACGTATCTGAGGAGACTCGGCGGGGTGAGGAGTCCCGAACAACTCAAGGACGTAAGGGGTTTCAATGGATGTAGTGGTATGCTCATGGTTCTACGCACGACATTTGAGAAGACTCGATGGGAGTTGCTGCATGAAGCAGCACTGTTGTTGAACAATTGTATTCAATTACTTGGTGGGGCCCAGAGTTGATCAATATTTATCAAACTCTCCGTGCCCGACGAGAATTTACGGGCCCGCGCAGTAGCTATATGGGAGGAAGCACTTTTAGTCATGACATGTTATGTTATTTTTTGTATATTGCATTGCAAGCATGAAGGGATGAGGCGACGCGTATGAGCATGATATTTTTCAAACTCACGTATAGTATATAGTAACTTGTTTGTATTTCTGTATTTTATGGGATTTGTTTGATGGGAAAGGAAGTTTAGCATTGCATGGTTTGCTGGGCGGACGCGGGTTATCAAAACTAAGGTACCTTGGGTATGGATGGAGGGGGGTTTTTTTTGCTGGTCTGGTCTGATGGCGAGCGAGCGGGCGGGCGGAAGGGTTGTATTCGAGTTGTATTCGAGTTGCATATATAGGTTTATACCCTGGATCTGAATGGCATGGATATTGAATGGAATGAATGCGACGGTTAGGTGCTGGTGGTGTGCGTGTGTATGTGTGTGCGTGAACAGAGATATGGAGGGCGGGTGCAGTAGCGAGGTTATTCAGGGGATATGTGGATGGAAATCATTTGCGGAAATATCACGTGAGTTTGCGATAAATGACGCGCGAGATCGCGTCCCTCGCAGAAGCAGAATAGGCGTGAATTGATCGTCCAATTCTAGCAATAATTAACAACTCCCTCTTTTCTATTCCACTCTCCTCTCCTCTACTCTCCTTCATCCTCTCAAACCAAAAATGGAGAAAATGTGCATCCTCTGCGCCTCGCCAACCAAATCCTGCGCATCATGCATTGCAAATCCGTTGCGTACTGCTCGCCTGAATGCCAGCATACGGATTGGGCTGTCCATAAACGCTGTGCAAGAAGATGAGGGGTTTTGAGGTGGGGAATCCGAGGCCCGTCGGTGGGAGGTTGGGCAGGTGCAAGCTGGACGAAGAAAGTCGGGAGCGTGCTGATAGTGCGAGAGGATGGAAAAGACCTCACGCCCAAGCAGGTGTGGGCTTTATCCGAGTACTGCGAGTTAGCTCTCGTGCCCAAGAATGACGGCCTCCTTGCACCTGAAGTTGCGGATTGCTTGAGCCGTGCTCTTGTCTTGTCGTTGTTGACGAGGGATTCGTAGGAGAGATATCTAGAGGGGTTTAAGAAGAAGATGGGAACTTCTGATGATGAGTGCACATGGGCTAGTGTTGTCTCTCCTTACAGCGTCTGATAGACATGGAGGCATTTGAGCAACGTTGGCCCTTGACGTTTGGGTATTCGAGGGATGATTTGCGGAAGCTGTCTGTTTTGGGAACAGGATTTGATTTAGAGACTAACCTTCACTCAGTACGTCATGTTGGATAGTCCTAGCATCTATCTGTCTTTACCCATAATCGAGTTTTCCGTCCACTTCACCGCCTGCCAGGCAATAGGTATCTAAGGTATTTCCAAGAAGCGTGTCGAGTTTTGCAGCCCCCGTAAGCGAGCTAAGCGAGCACCCCTTTTACTTCTAGGTCGTCTCTAGATACATAAAGAAGAAAGGCTCCTAGTGCATAGACAACAGTGGCATGTAATTTTTCATAGTCAGGGTAGCGTGGGAGTTTAAAGCTGAGGGACGAGAGTAAGTGCCGCGACTTATGTCGGGCATAGGGAGGCATGATGAAGAGCTAGAGGGTTGATGATTGATAGCCCTTTGTGGTGGTGGTAGTAGTAGTAGTGGTGGTTTTCAGTAGTGTTATAAGCTTTTTTAGGATAGGATCACCTTTAAAATCGACTCTTAGATTCATGAATAAACTGCATTTACAAGTAACCTAGTTTATTCGTGAATCGCTTAAATACTCACGAGTGACCTAAGCTACACGTGAATTTATACTAAGATTCATGAATCGCCTAGATCACGAATGAACCAGAACATATAAGAACACAGATTTCAACACACTTCTTGATAGACAAGTGTCCTAACATAAATGAGTCCTAGATGTACAGTACATATTCCTATCCGTGCAAACAGCAGACGCTCGCCCCAAGAAAAGTAAAGCAAGCGCAAACATCAATCCCTAATACTAGCTTCGAACACTCTCAGAGCCTCCGCCCTCCTTATCTTAGCTGCTTGCAAAACATCGAACATCTGACTAGTCAATGCACTTTCATCCTCGGCCGGAACCTGCTCGCCTTGCACAATCTCAAGATCGTTCCTGATATCCACTCTACAGTCATGTACGGCCCTTTTGAGCTTCACTCTAGTATCGACTAGCAATGTGGAAAGTGAATTGTTAAACTGGTCCCGGATGAACTTGAATAGCTTGGGGATTCTCTGACGCGCGTCCCCGGAGATCTGTATCTGCAGACGCTGGATCCGCCGTTGTTTCACGCCGCTTCCATAGTCCATATCTTCGTACATGGGACGCATGTGTTGCATGGTATAGGATGCTCCGTGGGCTCTTAAGAGATCGTGGAAGATGATCCTGGATGATGGCATTGGTATTAGCTGATCTCCTTTTGTTCGGGTAGGGAGACTCGACTTACTCAAGCTCGTCAATGAACCAGTCAGAGATGTTGTCGATTTCATATTCAAGATCTCGCTCGCGTCGGGGGAAGGTTGCTATAAAATCCTCGGCTCCTTGGAATTCTGCCGTCGTTGCTTGTTAGCTCTCTGTAGCAAGGGGATGTGATTTCTCATCGTCGCACCACTTAGTCTCCTAGGTATTGCAGACAGACTCTCTTTAGTGGAATCATTAACAGCGGCCAAAATTCTTTCGCTCTCTGTAGTAAAGGGCTCTTCAATCGGCCCGATATCATTCACCATCGCTTGGATGATCTCTTCGTTCCAATTAGTGTATGACCGACTGGCGGTTCTATGAGCCCCCTCTTTTCCCCAGAAAGCAAGAAACGTTTCTGTATCTCGTTAACATGGTTGATATTGGGACGAGTGTTCACAATAATATCTTACGATGAGGCCACTGCGATGGTTAGTTAGCATTAGCTCAGAGAGAATGTTGATTATAATTGCTCACTCCTTGATATCTCGAAACAACCACAAGTGCTGCAGCTTCCCACCGGTTTATGCCTCGGGCTGTATCATGATCAGCTTACTTCTATTCCAGGGCGTCGAAAGGGGGCCGGACAAAGCGGTCGCTGCAACATTTGCGTTTTGGCAGTGGCTAGCTCTGCGTCACCGGTCTCAACAGAAGTGTTAAATCTCTGTATGCGCATTAGCTGCTGCTCATTTTTAATGCACTGTTTCCCTTACCCTCTTGAGCTGCGTTTGCAATTCCTGCACGAATCCTGGCGCTGCTGTTTGGCTCGCGGCCAGCTCCACAACACTTGCATTAAGCCACAATTCTGTCTTCTCGAGCAAGGCCACTAAGCTCGTCCTGAGAAAGTGTTTCGTCTCCAGGATATGGGACTTGGATGGGATTCCTCGGATGAAGTCTCGTAGTTCGAGAATGCCCGAGCTTTGCTCTTTTTGGTCTGCAGCCAACATATTGTCGTTGCGAACAGCTGAAGAGCGTCGGCCATTACGTGCACCTTGCGGAATATCCGCCCGCATTTCGTTAGCTTCCCGATAATACTTATTGGATACGCAAAACACGTAGACTGTTCTGGTATGTCTTTGGGCCGCGTAATGTCTCAAGAGAAGTCTTTTAACGTGCTGATTGCGAGCTGAAATGAAGAAACTTTTTCGTCTGCTTTGATATAAGCATGAGGTATTAAACAGAGATCAGTGGATAATACTTCGCATCTAGTTGTTTACAAGGCAGACCGTCCTCTTCTGCATACTTAACCTCGAGTTTCTGACGCTTCATAGTCTCAGTGTTGAATTCGGCTGTGTGTGGACAGTCTCTCAGGATCTCTTTTTCTTCTCCCAAATCCTAAGTGTGTTAGTGGTAAAATTCAGACAAGTGGAATACCTTACTTGACAAACCTCTGACTTGGTACAAATGATGGCTACATTCTGTGATCTCCTTAGGCCGCTAAAGTTTCTGCCTAATTGTCGAACGATGACATCTTCTACGCCCTGGTTCGTCGCTGCCCGACCAATATCGGTCACGACGAATACCTCATCGCACTGATACAGTCTTATTTCGGCAATTCTGACTCGTGCCGAGTTCACGTCGCGGAAACCTTGCAAAATCAGTATAGACGCGCGATGAATTAGGCGGAATTATAGAAGTCTCCTACCAGGCAAGTCCACAAGCACGATACCATTCTGCAATACTGCAGCATCCAGGTAGATACTATAATTTGAAGTCAGTACCGCCGAAGAGAGTTGAGCTCGCAACATACCGGACTACTTTGATAAAGGGCCACATCCACTGGCGCCAGAAGTTTTCAATCTGTATGGTACAGTCCCCCACTATGCCAGCTGTTAGGATGGCAACATTGGTGGTATTGAAGCCTGCGGGCCATGTTATATCATCTCTCCAGTCGAATACCCTTCGGATTATCTCCTCTGTGGAGATGAGTGCGTTCTGAAATAATGCTTCCGTGCAGCCATGATTCTCAAATGCAGCTGTGAGGGTATCCCAAGCCACACCTGCTTGCTTGCGTTGTTGCTCTACTTCACCACTCTCAGCTCCTTCATCGTCATTCTGGTCTCGAAGGTGGTAACGCCTGTAGTCCAGAACGCTTTGGCGTAACAAATCATCTATCTCCGGATTTCCCATGCGTTCAACCTCGACTGTATAAGCTGCGCTGTCGGTCTCTCGCTTTTTCCGGTATTCATAAACGGCTGTTGTGCAAGCACTCCCACCCCCAGACTGTTCTAGTTAGATAAATAATCTCGTCAGTGAAAGTTTACTTACTGTTTTTGCAAGATCTTCTTGGCCGAGCAAGGAATTGATCAAACTGCTTTTACCTATGTCAAAGTCAGATGAACAGCGCGCGTGAATACGATTCTGTACAATGGTACTTACCAACACCAGAATCTCCAACTAAGCCTACTGTAAATTCAGCGGGGAATTGATAGTTTCGCAGCTCTTCCGCTAGCGAAACAACCTGATGAAGATTTGACTGTTCGTTGTCTGCTAAGGAGCTCCGTCTCAAAATGTTTGCCAGGGACTCGCCGATATCCTTGCCTTTGCTCACTGCAATTTGTATATGTTGATCGTTATGCTCATTCGTGGTGGCAGGACCGTTAGACGTAGGCCTGACTGGCAAAAGTGTTTGAAGCGGATTTGATGAACCGCTTGGTCCCCCATGCTGTGTCATGATTGATCACTTAGCTGCTGATGCGCGATTTCTGCTATGATGAATCAAAGTATTGTAGCTCAGCAGAAAAAGAGAGAATGTGGAGTATGGAGATTGAAATACTAGAAATGAAATTGTGAGGTCTTCGATCAGACTTCGAAGGGAACATCCGCTACTTATGAAGAAGGCTGTGGGCTGTGCCCCACGTAGTGCATGTCCGTATCTGCAACTTTTTGCGATCCTTGTAGCAAGTTGTTGGTTCTTCAGCAAAAGGAAGTAACCAACATCCTCAGCCTCGTGGGGGCTCGCAAATCTACAGGGATTTAGAAACAAGTTTTGTCGCAAGGCAGATTTTGACCAGCATCACCGAATACAATACTGTCCCCATCGGTTCTCTTAAGCTCTTTGACGCGTGCGCTAAGGGTCTAGCATTGTTCTCCAATTGACTTGTATGTATAGGCGCTGAGCAATGGAAAAGGGGCCCGGTCATGAGGCCGCTTGTTTGAACTTTGAAGCCACTGCGACCTTCTCGTACACGCCCGCTATAGTGGATGTTTCTCTATCCCATTTGGTCATGATCTGTTTGAAATGACCGAAAACGGCGTGTATGCTGTCTTGTATGTGTGGGAAGGAAGGCGTTGTGCATGCCCCGAAGATCCGAGTTGATGTGCAAACCCTACGCGATAGCTAAGCTTATTTCACCACGCTAGGCCTCCTCTAACACAGCTAATATGTGGAATGGTTCGCGTTTAGGAGGTGAAAGATGACCTGAATTGAAGTGAGACTAAAGAAGGAAGAAGGAGAGAGAGTGTGACCTCAGATGAGACCCCACTCTAGTCTCCCTCACTACTGACTAAGCATACAGATGCCTCAGGCCCTCCACATAATATAAGCATACTAGGATAATTTCATATCTTTCCATTTCATAGAATTAGCTTTCCTTACTATTTTAAAAACCGCAATACTCTAATACCTCGCAATTCCACTTCTCAATCCGGCAACTAATCAATCTATCCACTTTGTGCCCAGCACGAAGCCAAAGTCGAACTTGAGATATTTGGGGAGAATGCCTCACTCCATATGAGACATTTTACGAATGAATTCGCACTACGACTTCCAACTAACCAAGAAGTCCACAATTTGGGGAAGAAATCAATAAAGTACGGTCATAAACTTGTTCGAGTCGGTCCTTGCATTATTAAATATGGCCTAGCTATATCGCTAACGCGATTGAAGGAGAGAATCTCCGTACGCACGTTATTAGAGAATGGAGATATATGGCATTAGCTGCTTGTGGTAAGCAGAGTGATGATTATTTTACGTGAATGGGTGAGAGTTTAAAGTTCTTTTTGATCGAGTTTGTATAGATTTATAGAAAGTTCAAATCTAAAGATATTTTTGCCCACTCTCCCTCCAACTTGTTAATACTTGCAAGTTCTGAAACCAGGCACAGTGGATTTACTAATAACACCACCAACAAAATATCCCCAAATTTAGGCTCAGTCTTCATTTCAAAACTTCCATCCTACATCAAGAAAGTGAGAACACCGAAAACTACGCTCTCCGCGGCTTTAGACCCAATGGCTTCTCAGAATACGATTTCGATGGGGAATTTGGGCCGATTTCCCGCGGAAATCCGCATTATCATATGGGAACACCTATCGAACTCCTGGGCTCGACATGAATACGAAACCAAGCAGCTGCAGGACGGATCTGTTAGTGATGAATATCGGTCATTTTACTGGCAAAATATGTAGAGTTTGCCGCTTTCGCTTCAAATATCTATTCATCTTAGTAAAAAATACCACAAACTTGACAAAATAAAGAATGACGAAATGACGAAATGATACCGCCTCATCAACAGTCAACTCCAGCTTCCACGTGGTAAAACATAATATCTCAATCGTTGTCTTGCGGTAAAATAGTCAAGCAAACAAATCTTTTTCTGTCAACTACGTACTGTAGCCAACTCCACATCCCACCACATCACTTCCCAACTCCAACCTCAGCACGCTTTACTTCCAGTTTTCGAGACATCCTTCAAGACACAAGTCGATGGCTCTTCAAATTGCAAAGTTTTTCTTCGTTCAAAGCTCGCAAACAGTCGCTGATGTGGATTTTGTAGCGGCGTTTCCGGTAGCCGCCGCAGTTGATACATTTTCCGTGGATAGTGACGCTGTGTGTGTGGCTACAGCTACGTATTTCGAGATTTGGTTCTGGCATGATGATGGTGGAAGTGGTCTCTGTCAAAGTGTGAGTCTGTGAGGAGTTGGGTGAGGTGTTATATAGGTCAATAGCAGTACATGGAACATTCTCCAATACCCTGTTATTCACAACTTTTGAAGAGATAATCACATACAAGTATCAAGCAACCAAGGATGTAAAGAAATAAAGGCAATATTCGATAGAAAACTTTCACCACAATAATTCTACCACGCTTCATGGTCCTCACCAAAGGACGTCATCTCCTAATCCTACTATGCTATAGGGTTAAGATTCAAGGAATGGATGTGTGGTCATATTAAAGAAGCATAACTATACATCGCCGTTAATCACTGATTTGTCTACGGGGACTGAGCCCATTTGTGTTATGTAGTCGATAATACCAAGGTTAAAGAGTGACGTAAAGCCAGCCAGATCATTATAAGCTGATGTACATGGCTAGTCAAAAAAAAGAGCTATACTAATGTTTTATATTATATTATACTATATATAGAAAGAAGTCCAACTAACTAAAGTCTCGGGTTTACTTTTCTATCCAAGCCTAGTTCTCCATCTCCATTCTACCCAGAATATCAGGAATAATTCTCTTTACTTACGTTTCTCTGTCTCTCTTTCTGGATCACACACACACCCATCATCACGAACATTTCGAACACGTCAACCACGCCAATTTACATTTCGGACAAGCCAAATCCTCATCTTTTATTGTCGACTTAGACGTGGAATGATTCGACGTGCTCGCCTTGACACCCCTATCTGAGTGTTTCTCATCGGCCTGAGCAGCTACCCCGCCTGTAGGGGATTTCTCCGTCTGTTGGGTATCTCGTTTCGAGTTGTTGGTGGGGGGTTGTGAAGAGGGCATTTTGCTATCGGATGGAGCAGGATTTTGGGGTAAAGGTGGGCTTTTGAGAGAGTGGGAGTTGCGGTTTGGATTTTCGTGAAGGATTCTAAGAGAGAGGGGAAGGATTAAAGTATTTGTATGGAGTTAAGGATTACGGGGTAAGTGTCGTGACCTAGTTTTGCTGTCTACTTATTCATAGCAGACACATCAGGCAATGAATGAATAAATGGAAAGCTCCGGAGGGCAGGGAAGAGTGAGCAATCAACTCCGAATATTGCTGTTTAAACACCGTTTGAATTTCTGCAACGGGGTACTCGGGAATGAATGTTCTCTAATCACAGGCTCACAGCGTAGGTAACTGACATATTCGGACTAAATGTTATTCATTACTCATTACGACTCATAAGCTCCGTCCTGAATGCAAGGCCACATACCCACAGCGTGCTCAGCACAGCCTGAGCTAAACCATCACATGCATACATACATATCCAACTTACCCCCAACTCCCAACGCCTCTATCCCATTCCAACCCAACTCAACCCATCAACTCAAGCCTCAAAATAGCTATCCCCTTTCTTCAACTCTAACACATCCTGCCCGTACCCCCGCCCTCCGCTAACCCCCAGAACTCTAGCATCCAACCTCGCCACCCCTTCCCCCTGAGCCCACAACAAAGCCGCAACACTACTCCCAATAACAACTTGCACGACCGCCAGCGCGATAGCTGCATCTTTAAGCCCGGCTAGCATGTCCGCGCCGCTTTTGACCCAGAGCGGCATGCCGATGATGAAGATGCCTGTTAGGACGTCTTGGAGGAGCTTATGCGCGAATTGCAGCGCATTACTCGCACTTTCCTCTTCATCAAAATCTTCATCTTGTTGTGATTTAGATCCGAGAGCGGATGTGGCTGTGACTATAGAAACACCAGCTGCATTCACAAGCACAGCCCCTGCAACCAGCAACCCGAACAGCACAGACACGATCTGCAGCGAGAGATCCTGACCCTGGACATACAACGTAAACTGGCTTCCCTTGGCGCGGGTCGTGGACATGAGTTTGCCGTACGTGTACAAGCCGAAGGCGAGTGTGCCTGCGAAAGCGAGGATCAAGGCCGGGATGGCGATGAGGAAGGGCTGTGTATGTGCCTGTTTGGAGCGCGGTGCTCGAGGTAAGGTGAAAGAGGAAGCGGTGTAGAGGAGCAGGGAGAGGACGAGAGGAGCGATGAATAGGTAGCCGATGCGCGCGGGGAAGAGGAAGGTGGGCATGCTGCTGAAGAGGAGGGAGAGGGTTGAAGCGACGGCGAGTGCTGTTGCTGTTGGCGGGGCGGTGAGGAGGAAGGTGAGGATTGTGGTTGGTGCTGCTAGAGCGCGGAGGGGGCGCGTCATTTTGCTCTTGCTCGTGCTCGAACTAGGCGGAATGGTGAAGCGGAGGGTGGAGAGGTAGGATTTGAATTTCCCTGCTGAGGGAGCGGAGACGGTTGTTGTGTTAGGGGACTGCGAGGTCGAAGTGGAAGTGGAGGACCGGGAGAATGTTGTTTCGGGCGTGGCAAAGATGAGGAATACGATGGAGAAGGCTTGGATTATGTTTATGGCCATGATTTGGTTGCGGAAGCCTTGGTTGGTTTGCGAGAGGTAGCCACCGAGAATAGGGGTTCCCCACGTGAAGAAGATATTCGAGATGTTGTACAGTACCACATGACGGGATCGTTGATGGACCTTGTATCTGTCAGCAAAGATATATGAGAGAGATGCAAGGGAAAACACACGAAAAACATATCGTTGAAAGAAGTTAAAACCAACGACTCAAAAGCACCCCAAGCAACACCTTGAAATATCCTCGATACCATGAACTGAGCATAGCTCTGCTCGACATGCATATTCCAAATAGCACCAGCAAGCAAAAGTACCGAGCTTGTAAGATAGATTCCCCTTTTCCCAACCTTCTGCGCTAGAACCGTACTTCCCATCCCAGAAAATGCACCGATGATCAACGGCAGGCCAGTCAAGGCTGTCGCTGCCATATACGAGCAATTCAACTCTGTAGCAATGACGCCGTTTACCGTCACCAGTATCGTTTTCAGAATACCGATGACGGCGCCACCGAGGACAAGGGAGCCGAATGCGAGTTCCTTTTTCCATTGTGGCCAGTTCTGTCTTTACGTTAGTATTTAAATATTGTTGAACACAGGTATGAGAACAAACTAAAGGATCAAGAGGAGACTCGCTAGGTCGTGGGACCAGCTCCACGCCTGTATTCCTCCCCAGCATCGGTTTTCTACCCTCGACATTCGACATCGTGGAAGTGACTGAAGTATCCCGTGTATAAGTGATCTTCGGGACCTGAAGGCTAGACTCCATTTCAAACGGCAATTAAATATATAGAACAAAGAATCAAATGGTATCAAACCAACTAGGACAGCGAGTAAGGAATGTAACTTCAGGTCGCTCAGCGGACCGTCAAGAATGAAAGAATGAATACGTTGAATGAATTGGTCGAAGAAGAATAAGTTGGAGCAGAAGCAAGCAAAGCACCTCTAAGACAGTTGAGTAAAGTAAGACGCAAACGCATAAAAGCACCTGAGACGACACAAGCCCCAACGCATGAATAGAAACAAATAGAAACAATTTATGCAATGGCAGCTGTCAGTATTCAGATGACAGCTAGTAGGAAAGAAAGCATAAGCCGCAACTTCGTCCATCCGTTCTTCAATCCTTGATCGTCTGAAAGATCATCATCTGAGGGGACGGAGGAAACCTTATTCCGAAATAATCACCTATCAATTCCCGAATCCTGAAGGATTTTGCATTCGTGCATTAAAATGACAGTCTGGGGTTGGTTCTGAAACGGAATGAGACTTGGAGTGTGGAGGAGCCGTTTCAGGGTGCTAATAAGCGACAAGTCATGAATGCAAAACCTGGGGATTATCCAGCTTCGTGGCTGTGGGATTGACTGGAAAGATTGAGATCCAAGGAACGAAGGATAGAGAGGCGGCGCCACGACTTTAAATGGGGGCAGTCATGGTGGTTGGACTCACGTGGTTGATATATTCTGCTCTGGGTGGATGCCAAGGCTAAAAGGAGCAGGTGCTTCATATGTAGCAATACCTCTAGTGGCGATATCGCGCACTTTATCATCATCTAACTTACACCCTACGCCGTCCTATTACTCAAAGTCTTGCTCTACCACGCCATACATCAGCACATCCCAGCCCCAAAACTCAGTAGCAAAACCTACTTAGCCTTCAACCCCAAGTCTCTATAAAACGCCTCCGTACTCGGCTTACGTCCTAAGAAGTCCTCCAACGTCTTCATCTCTTCCTGACTTCCCCCCTTCTCCAACACCATATGCCTATACCTCCTGCCCTCCTTTCCATTCATCGGATCTTTCTTGAACACCGAGTAGAACATATCCGTACTGTAAACTTGACTACTCAAGTAACCGTAATAACCAGCATCATAGCCCCCGATCAGATGGCCGAAGGTCGCTTGGCCGCTGCCCCAATTACTTGGGAGGCCTAGCGCCTCGGGTCCTTTGATGCCGGCGATTTGCGTGCGGAGGTCATTGTAGAGTTCTGAGAGTCTGAAGGCCTCTGCCTCGGCATGGGATTTGGGAGTGTGTACTGTCATGTCGAAGATACCGAAATGCAGTTGGCGCAGATTGAACAACGCATCATTGACGTGCTTGACGCTAATTTGCTTCTCGATCAAGTCGTCGGGGATCTTCTCGCCGGTTATATAGTGGCTACTTAAAGACTTGAGTTGGGAGGGAGTCCAACACCAATTCTCGAGCATTTGAGAGGGTGCCTCCACAAAGTCACGGACGACAGATGTTCCGTGGAAACGGGAGTATTTGGTACGACCTGCAAGATCGTGGATTCCGTGGCCGAGTTCGTGGAAGAGAGTAACTACTTCGTCGTGCTTGAGAAGAGAGGGCTTGGATTCGGTAGGTTTGGAGAAGTTGCAGACAAGTGCTGTGGCGGGGTAGCGACGAGTGCCATTGGGGTAGTAGAAGCCGGGTTGGAGAGAAAAGTTTGCTGCGTGACCGTATTTTCCTGGGCGGGGGTGGAGATCGAGGTAGAGGTAGCCTACGAAAGCTCCGCCTTCTCCTTCGTCATCCCAGACGCTGAAGATTTTGATATCCTCATGCCAAGCAATATCCTCGGCTTTCCCAGATTCTGTGACCATTAGCAGCTGAGGGTGGAGAATTAGAAGACCACTTACCAGAAAGCTTAGTTCGTTCCTCACCCACCAACTCAACAAACACAAAGCCAAAGAGCTCCTGGAATATAGCAAGCATACCCTGAACAGTAGGCTGAAGAGGGAAATACTCTGCAATCTTGGACTCATCAATAGAAAACTCCTTCTCAACCATCATCCGTCCATAGAATCTCGAATCCCATAGATAATAATTTGCAGCATCGCTGGTGTCCAAACCTCTAGACGTCAGATCTGCTTTCTTAATCTCAAGCAAATGTGCAACCTCCTTGACCCCACCAGGAGTAAGCTGGACTCTCAAATCATCCAAGAACTCATTAACGGTCTCCGGGGTCTTGGCCATCTTATCCTCGATTCGGAATGCTGCATGATTGGGGTAGCCAACCAGTCTAGCAGCTTCGTCTCTCAGGATAATAGCTTCCTTGAAGAGGGGTGCATTTTCATTACACTGTAATATCAGCCTTATTCTCAGCCCATGGAAATTGAAAGGAGACGTTATACCTTGTTCTCATTCTCAATAAAAATCTTCTTCCTTGTCTCCGGATCCAGCGCAAATTTCAGCGCAGGGAACAGATCCGGATACTTGAAACTCAACCTCAACTTCCCCTCATTCGCCCCGGTGCCCTTCTCCAGCGTGGCCAATGTATCCTCAGGTACACCCTCCAACTGTTTATAGCTGAACCAAATCCCGCCATTCTCCTCATTCAGATTCTTCTGAAACTCAATTTGAATCTGAGACAGACGCATCTTGATCTCCTTAAACCGGTCTCTATCAGGCCCAGCAGGTATGCCCAGACCGTTGGTTATGTAGGATTTGCGTTCTTTCTCGAGAAGGCGTTGGGATTCGGGGTCGAGCGGGGCTTTCTTTTGAAACGCGGCGTCGACGAGCTTGAAGATATCTTCGCGCATTGAGGCTTCAATGCTAAAGGCGTCCATGATTTCCTCTGCTTTGGAAGAGGCATCACGGAGTTCTTGGGACGAGGATACTGCTTGGTAGAAACCGATGATACGAGACTCCAAACCGCCGGCATTCTCGTCTAGGGCGAGGGGCAGGACTACATTTTCAAAAGTGGCAGTCTCGGGGGTGACTTCGGCGGCGATTTTGTCTAGGAGGGTGCGTGAGGTTTCGCAGAGCTTCTTTGCGTCTTCGACGAGGGACGACGTTGTTGCTGTGAAGAGAGGAGGGGCCTGGGGAGGCTTTTGGTATTGGGATGGTGCCATGGTGCTGTTGACTATGGGTCTGAATTTGTAGGCGGAAGTGTAGGGCGAGGAGGAGGAGGAGGAGGAGGAGTATTTAAAGGGCCGGATTTGGGTGAACAACGAGGTCAATCGCGGACCCAGGCGAGTGGAAGCCAGGATGACTGAGATGGATGTGAATAGCAAGACAGACACCAAGAACCAACGGACGCGGAATGGAAGCGCCAGGATGGGAGGGGGTATGGGCGAGTGGAAGGACGCCCGTGAGTAATACGTGGATGGGTTGGAGAGGTGGGGTAAAGTGAGTGAAGTGAAATGAAATGTGTTGGTAAAGTTGTCGTCAATTCAACTGTTGTCCCGAGTGAAACAAACAGCTGGGCCGATGGGATATGATGCAGGGATTAGAAGGGCGGGGCTGGAATCTGGGGTCTTTCGGGATCTATTAAGCTTGCATCAGATCAGGTACAAGCAAGAATTTCTGTAAATAGCTTCACGTCTACGCTATACTTCTTCAAACTTGGGACTGTCACTTCAACAACTTATAGGTAGATTTGACAAATCGTATACAGGTAGGCTCAGCCTGCTAAATACTCACTCTCCAAGGGTACGAGCCATATCGACAAAAGTCCTCTCTCCCCAGCTCGCTCACATACCCCTCCTCAAACCAAACCAAACCAACCAACATGCCGCTCCAACCCCCCACAATAACAACCTACCACTGCCTTTGCACCTCCCTCCTCCTAGCCAGCACGCACACCTTCTCATCCCTCCCCCGCCGCTCAACTGGCACAGGCGCCCTCGACTCGGCCATAATCCTCCCCTTGCCGTCTGCCCCTACGAGTAGCTTGGAAGATGCGAACGCCAATGAGAACACAAATACAATTGTGAACGAGATGCCAGTAGAGGGCTATACGATTATACTAGGCATGATAAAGGCGACCAAACCGACGGTGGTTAGGAGGGAAGACGGCTTCGAGAAGAGGATGCTGTGGAGGTGTGTAAGGTGTGGTGTTGTGGTTGGGTATGAGATACTAGGGCAAGGATTGGGACTGGGAATGGGAGGGGGCGAGAAGATGGATCTAGATGTGGATGGTGGGGAGAAAGGCAAGGGTAAGGGGAAAGAAGGATATGAGGGGAGGATTATGTATGTGCTGCCTGGGGGGGCTACCAGTACCGATGTTATGAGGACAGGGAGAAAGGTTGGGGAGGGGGATGTTGATATACAGGCTGGGACTGTCGCTGCTTTCGAGTAGAGCATGTATGTGTAAAGATATGAATTCACCATAGCGTACGGCGTCAACTACAAGGCAGAAGGGAGAATATTTTCAATTACAATCACTGTTCCTATTCATGCGCTATGCCTAAAGGAAAATATGTCATGTCCCAAACATAAACGCCATTCGTCCATCCATCCTCGTAATCATATCACGGCCCTATCCATGCTGTGAATGTGTATGCCCAAGTCGTACAGTGAAGTATATCTCTAACCATGTATTTCCATCTCTGCTGCGTCTAGTTCGCTAGGATTGTGCGTACGAGATCTATCCCTTGGAATTAGCCATCATTCACATCACCTCTCTCCTGGATTCCTTATGCTAGAAGAGCAAGAAAGGACATACCCGTGTAGTTGATCTCCCCCGAACTAGTATCCACGGCCTTTAACAACTCATCTACCTCATCATCACTCATCTTCTCCCCCAAGTTCGTCAAGATGTACCGTAACTGTCCCACGCCAATGAATCCCGTCATATCCTTATCGAAGACTTGGAAGCCGCGGCAGTATTCTTCTGGTTCGCCTGGGTCGCGGAAGCCGCCTGGTCGGTTGAGGATTTTGGAGAACGTTTCGAAATCGACTGTCACAGTACAAATCAGCCTCCGCTCTCTGAAAAGGGTGTAAAAGGGGTGATGCGGGGGGAGAGAACATACAGTCAGAACCAATATTCTTCTCCAAATCTCTAATCTCGCTCAATGTCGGGTTCTGACCACAGGCTCTCAGTAAATCACCCAGTGACTCGAGGGCCACGCGTTGGTTGCCGCGCTTGTCGAACAGGGCGAACGCTTCTTTGTAATTTGTGGAGGCCTGCGCATCGTACGGTTTAGTGCTTGCCATATTGACCCTCGTGGAAGATGTGAAGTAGAGGATGGAGATGGATGGGGAGATGGATGTAACCAAAAGAAGCTTGCGGGGATGTTTATGCAGTTGTTGGATGCGGATGCAGGTGATGGATTGATTGATTGATTGATTGATGGTGATGCAGTGTACAACAAATGCAAACGAGATCTCGAGTTCGAGAAGGGGAGGGGATGCGACAGGCGTCAACGAATGCAACTGCTGTATGTTGACTGTCGCGACTTCCACGACAGAGCCAGAGTCCTTGTTTTGGGGGCAAAGCACGCAAGGGCGACTATTTTGGCGCCCGCCCTAGGAAGGAAGGAAGGTAAACAGAGACGGAAGGAAGGAGCTACATACCATCTTTCTTCTTGACTGCTAATGGTTTGCTGCAATTGATATCGAGGAAAACTGGATACTAAGATGAGGTGGATGTAGAAGATGAGGTTCAGGAAGGAAGGATATTGGATTCTTTGGTCCGTGTTCTGTCTGGCTCGTTTTTTCTGCCGTTGAAACAATGGCAACCACAGGGCAACGCGACGGTGGAGCCTTGGTGAATCCACACTTGGGGAGTAGCGGAGTGGAGCGGGGCGGGGTGGAGGTTTCTTTTTCTGTTATATCTTTTTTACTGTAGAAGAAAAGAAACGAGTAAATCAGAAGCGACTAGAGTTGGGAATCCCTAATTATTATCCATTGTCTAGCAGATTGAAGTATTGTTTCTCAACTCCAGTATTTTGTTTACAATGCTTACATTTGCTCTAAGTTTACAGAAGAATCACAAATCCGGATTCAAGTCCTCTAATCCTGGAATCAAATAGCTTGCCAGAAGAAACAAGTCGGAGCACTTACTTTCCCGGAAAACCAGTCAACAAAACATCCCCCAACCCTTTTCACTTCTTCCTGGCCATCAATATCACACTCCCCCCACTCATTCTCAACCTCAACATCCCTCCACGCCTCCCCCCTTGCCTTCCACTCCGGCTCAACCTCCAGCATTTTCTCAAACATCACATCAGCAATATCCCTCTCCCTCCCCCCATTCTTCGCAACCCAATTATGATACGCACTAAACGTCCTCACATACCCTTCCACCTCCCCCAACTTCAACCGTCGACTCATCAATACCTCGCCCGTACCTTTCGCTTTCCCCTCCCCTTGCAACGCCGGCTCATATTCCACCCTCTGCACACCCTCCCATTCACTCTCTGGCGGCACAATATCTCTATACAAATCCCTGAGTATGCGCCGACCCGGTTGTTCCCAAAACGGACCCATGGTATTCTCCCCGTAACAATACTCATCAAGTACCCGTGTGGCGGCAGGATAATCCACGAATATATTATCCTTATATCCCCAAAAAGCAAGCGTGCCTCCCTTCCTCACTTTCCTGCTTAGTTCCGGCCATACCTTGCTGTAGTCAAACCAATGGGCTGCTTGGCCCGCTACCACCATATCTAAACTTCCATCTTCTATAAAATCTAGATTCTCTGCTGACGCTTGGCGGAATTGTATGTTTGGGTATTCCGCGGAGGAGGTCTCGGCTTGGCTGATCATGGAGGATGAGGGGTCGGTGGCTAGGATTGAGGTGAAGTGCGGGGAGAGAGAGCGGGATATGAGCCCGTGGCCACAGCCTAGGTCGAGGAGGGTAGCAGAAGGTCCGTGGTGGTTGGTGAGTATCGTTTTGTAGAGGGCGGGGGGGTAATTGGGCGAAAGGCGGCGTAGGAGATGGCGTTGAAGGTTGTTTTTCTGGGGGGTGTTAGGGTAATTGAAACGAGGAGAGGAGGACATGCTTACGCAAAGGTTGCCATTGTTGGGTACTGTTCTTTGCAGATTGGTTGGTAGGTGTCCCAGGGTGTTGTGAGCTTCAGGAGTTGCGGTAGGTCAAAGGCTGGAAGTTTGCTTGTTAGAAGTTAATGGTTTTGGATATTGGAGTTAATCAGCAAAGGAAGGTATATAGCAACGAGAGGCATTCTATCTTTTTAATGCAAGAAAAGCCCGATTCTTCACCAAAAATCCGAACCATCAGCTGGATCGCAAAAGTTGTTACCTTCTTATCCAACTTCGTATCTTGAACAGCGATGCCGGATTTCCCGCGGGAGTTTCCCCTGAACCGCGGTCCAAAACAGCCGATTCAGGAATATTGATATTCCTCTCACCTGTCCTATGGGAGTGGTATTCCAAATACTTCGTAATATCCATTTTGCTGCGTATTTAGTCCCAGTATTGTTCCCCGTTTTGCTACGTGTTACGTTTTAAATAGTGATATATCCGGAGGAGGGGGAACTCCTACATATGCAGGTGGGGGTGACGATTATTCGTCATTTACTGTATTATAACGAGTGCCCCTCCATCCATTCATCCCATTCCATCTCTATACCAAAACCAAACAACCAGTCTATGTTCAAATCGTCCGTAACAACACTAAGCAAAATGTCAACAGAATCTACAGCCCGCGCCTTCTTCTCAGCTCCTCAATTCGCTGTCGTAGGAGCATCCGCTGACCCCTCCAAATTCGGCCATAAAAGTATTCCCTTCCTTCCCCCATATCATCTCCCCTTATCCCCCATTTTGATCCGAAACCGCTATTCTACCTCCTTTCCTATTACTCCTTCTAACCCAAAGTAGTCTTCACCTGGTACACAACCCACTCTCTCCCTGTAACGCCCATCAACCCCACCGCCCCCAGCATAACCGCCAACTCCAAAGCCTACCCAACCGTCTCCTCGCTATCTCAGCTCCCCGATCCGACATCAACGGCCGTGAGCATCATCACCCCGCCCAAAGTCACGAAGAAGGTGTTGGAAGAAGCAAAGGGGCTGGGAGTGAAGAGTGTTTGGTTGCAGCCGGGCACTTTTGATGATGAGGTGATAGCGTATGCGAGGAAGGAGTTTGAGAATGCCGTGGGGGGAGACGGTGGCGGTGGTGGGGAAGGCTGGTGTGTGCTTGTTGATGGGGGAAAAGCGTTGGATGGACGGGAGAAGCTGTAATGGTGAGGTATGGTTCGAGGGGTGAGAGTGATGAGGGCTATATCATAGGGGAGGAGGAAGTTCTTTTGTTATATTCACGCTTATAGATAGGTAGTTCCAGATGATTTAGTTTGCCAAAGACAGGTTTCTTTTACAGAAAGGAAGATATCCGAAATTATACCACCTATTGAGGCATGTTCATGTTGCTGTCTATTAAAGTATTTAGTATTTATCTATTTCTAAGCCTTTTACCTTATAAAGCTGTTGATCCATGCTTCCCAACGTTGATAAAGACCCTCTTGGTCCGAAACATGAGAAGAGGCACTTGCTATCCTTTATTTCTGATGTCCCGCATATGAAAATCAGTACCGCTTCTCGGAAATAGGGGGCGAGTTCGGTTCGGCTAAAGAGTTCATTCGGCCTCAGGCTCGGAACGTCTGAACGTCGGCGTTATAGTAACTTTGGCCGGGCTTTACAAAGCATCCATCCATGACGATCCGAAATCAACAGAATGCAATCGTTCAATTTCTCACTTCGACCACTTCGACCACTTTCTGTACTGTCGTTCCGTCCTCACTTTCTGCATTGAGCGTAGATCCTTTGAATACTAATTCCACCTTTGGGGTTTCCTTCGGCGTCGGCAAATCTAATTGAGGGCATACTTGAGCGTACCAGGACAGAACCGCGGAAATTATGCTGTACGGCCAAAATCTACCATGGCGGCTCGCTCTCCGATCCACAACGAGGACATGTGTTAGATACAGCTCGAGTTCCTCGAGCAGACTATACAGTTCAGCAATTAGTCGGCAACGGCAACTTTCAATAACCTCACTGCGACCCTTCGCCCCTGCTTACACGACACCCCTATCTTCTTCGAGTTTCTCGACCTCTCCTGTACGACGGAAAGACGCACCCAAAGACCCGAAAGATGCAGCCAACGAGGAAATAGCAGATGAAAAAGACAAGACAAAGGAAAAGGCTGCCAAAGAAACAAGTGGCGAGAATGTGGCAGAAAGCAAGGCCAAGGCTCCCGAATCAACAGGCAATGCTCCAGCAGATGGCCGAGGGAGTGGTGCTGCGTCCGGAGGCGATTCTGGCAGTGGTGATGGCAGTAAAAAAGGACGGAAAGCCAACAATTCAGACAAGACCGCCATCGCGGTACCCTCAATCCCAGAAGTCTACCCGCAGGTAATGGCCATTCCTATCGCCAAACGCCCTCTATTCCCCGGGTTCTACACAACAGTCACGGTACGGGATCCTAATATTGTTGCGGCAATTCAGGATATGATGAAGAGAGGCCAGCCGTATATTGGAGGTTTCTTGTTCAAGGATGAGAATGCGGATGGCGATGTGATTGAGAAAATGGACGATGTATATGATGTTGGAGTATTTGCGCAGATCACAAGCGCGTTTCCCTTACATGGGGATGAAGGGGCCTGGAGGGCTGTCTTGTATCCGCATCGAAGGATCAAGATGACTGCGTTGGTAAAGCCGGGTGGGAGTGGTGTTGGGAAGGCCGAGGTAGACGATATTCCTGAGATCATCCCTCCGCCAAAATCGAAGGAAGAAGGGACAGGCGATAAGAAGGGTGATGTGGTTGCTAGTTTTGAGGAGGGCCCTGTGGCATCAAAAGATGCAGAGGTTGCTCCCTACGAACCTACGTCCTTCCTACGAAAGTACCCTGTTAGTTTGGTCAACGTGGAGAACATGCCCGAGGAACCTCATGATCCTAAGAGCCCTATCATTCGAGCCGTCACCAACGAAATCGTCAATGTGTTCAAAGAGGTGGCAAATCTGAACAGTCTATTCCGGGATCAGATCTCTACATTTTCAATGAGCCAGTCTGCCGGGAACGTTATGAACGAGCCAGCCAAACTTGCTGATTTTGCTGCTGCCGTCTCAGCAGGCGAACTGAACGAGCTACAGGAAGTTCTGGAAACGATGAATGTAGAAGATAGGTTACAGAAAGCTATGGCGGTTTTCAAGAAGGAGTTGATGAATGCTCAACTGCAATCGAAGATTTCCAAGGACGTTGAGAGATCGATCCAGAAACGACAAAGGGAATACTGGCTGATGGAGCAAATGAAGGGTATCCGGAGGGAACTCGGCATCGAATCCGACGGGAAAGACAAGCTGGTGGAAAAGTTCAGAGAGAAGGCCTTGAAGCTCGCCATGCCAGAGGCTGTCAAAAGGGTCTTTGATGAAGAGCTTAACAAGCTTGCACATCTGGAGCCATCTGCGTCGGAGTTCAACGTCACCAGAAATTATTTGGACTGGTTGACACAGATTCCTTGGGGACAGCGGAGTGCGGAGAACTTCGGAATCAAAAATGCCACTACTGTCCTCGATGAAGATCATCACGGTTTACAGGATGTCAAGGATCGTATTCTTGAATTCATTGCTGTGGGGAAACTACGAGGCACGGTCGAGGGCAAGATTCTATGCTTTGTCGGTCCTCCAGGTGTGGGTAAAACCAGTATTGGGAAGAGTATCGCGAGAGCTTTGAACAGACAGTACTACAGATTCAGTGTTGGTGGTCTGGCCGATGTTGCAGAAATCAAGGGTCACCGCAGAACATACGTTGGTGCACTACCTGGACGAATCATTCAAGCGCTGAAGAAATGTCAAACCGAGAATCCTTTGATATTGATCGATGAAATTGATAAGCTAGGGCGAGGACACCAGGGAGATCCAGCATCTGCGCTGTTGGAGCTGCTCGACCCCGAGCAAAACAACTCCTTTTTGGATCAGTACCTTGATGTGCCGGTTGACCTTTCCAAGGTCCTCTTTGTCTGTACAGCCAACATGACTGATACTATCCCTCGACCACTTCTGGACCGAATGGAGGTCATTCAGCTCTCGGGATATGTTGCAGACGAGAAGATGGCAATCGCAGAACGATACTTGGCACCCGCCGCCAAGGAGCTGGCTGGCTTGAAAGAGGTTGACGTCAATCTCAGCAAGGAGGCGATTGAAGAGCTCATCAAGTCCTATTGTCGAGAGTCTGGTGTTCGAAATCTGAAGAAGCAGATCGAGAAGGTGTACCGCAAGTCAGCACTGAAAATCGTGCAAGACCTTGGCGAAAGCGTCCTTGCTGAAGAGAAAGCTTTGACTGAAGAAGGGAAGGCTGCTTTGGAAGAGTCGAAGAAGGACGAGACTGATGTCAAGGAGACTTCCGATAACATCGAGAAGGAAACTACAGAGAAGCCGCGAATCAGTCTCACTGTTCCCGATACAGTCCATGTTACCATTGACAAAGACAACCTGAAGGACTACGTCGGTCCCCCAGTCTTCACCTCAGATCGTTTGTACGATACCACGCCTCCAGGAGTCGCGATGGGTCTCGCATGGACTCAAATGGGGGGTGCTGCTCTGTATGTTGAATCAATCCTCGAAAGTGCCCTCACACCAGATTCTCGTCCCGGCCTCGCAACAACAGGAAACCTTCGCGCCGTGATGAAAGAATCAACGACAATCGCATACTCGTTTGCGAAATCGGTAATGGCGAGGAATTACCCAGGTAATCAGTTCTTCAACAAAGCCAAGGTGCATCTGCACTGCCCCGAAGGAGCAGTACCGAAAGATGGCCCTTCTGCTGGTATCACGATGGCTACCTCTCTGATGTCACTGGCGCTGAATAGACCGTTGGATCCCACGATTGCGATGACGGGTGAGTTGACAGTTACGGGGAAAGTACTGAGGATAGGGGGGTTGAGGGAGAAGACTGTTGCTGCACGACGCGCGGGGTCAAAGATGATAATTTTCCCGGATGATAATATGTCTGATTGGCTTGAGCTTCCCGAGGTATGCTCCCTTTTCCAATGATACTTTATTCTTTGAATAAAGAATGACGACTAACGGTACACAGAACATCAAGGAAGGGATTGAGGGCAAACCGGCGAAGTGGTACTCAGACGTCTTCGATCTTGTCTTCCCCGGATTGGATAAGGACCAAGCGAATACCGTGTGGAATGACCAGCTTAAAAAGAAGAAGGCATCCAAGAAGAAGGACGAGAAAGAAGACGAGGATGATGATTGATTGATCGATGCATGCATCCTCTCGCGAAGTTCTGCACATAATACGGTATCACGAACGAACAAATGCGATGCGGGGAAAAGGGCAGCATGGCATGGCATGGCACCGGCGTTGTTGGATCAAGGTAAGATGGTTGGACAAACTCTCCACTACATACATGTATACGTTACATTGAGATGTCATTAGATACATGGTGATAGACGTGTATAGAGTACGATAAAATGTAAAGTACCAATATCTACAGTAGTTGATGTACTTGATGTGTCTGTGGTAGTACTGTATCTGCTTGTGTTTGCTGGCATTGATTGACTTGACGTCTCACATTCTCTAGCCTTAAGAAAGACAGCCTGTCCGGCGATTCGATGCTCGATTTAAAGTATTACATTATAGGGCTGTAATTGGGCCTCAATTCCATATTAATCCGTATGGATACCCAAATGCAAAATGACGGATCGAATCGAACACCCTAATTGCGGATGGTTCATGCAGTTGTTGATTGCTTGCCTTGCTTACAGCATAACACACGCAGCTAAGGTAGATACGGTACCAGACAATAGTAGACTGGGTAACCAACGGCTTGCCTTGCTTGTTCTGCCTCGTTTGCCTTGCCTTGTCTTGTCTGGACTTGCTTACCGTATGGCCAGTTGTTCTGCGGGGCTGGACTGGGCCGGGCTTGGCTGGGACGGGAATCTTAGAAAGGAAGAAAGGAAGAAGGAATGACAGATACGTGTAACGCTGTCAGTCAGGCGAGTGGATACAGATTTCTATTGTTGTATGGAGGACGGATATCGGAGGTCGGAGTATTGGTAGGCGATGTTGAGTTGAGTTAGGTTACCGGCAAGGCGTTGGGCAGCAATACACCGTACTGTAGGTAATGTATAGTATCGACTCTCGAGTAAGGCAAACTACCTTGGGTAGGCAGATAGGTACCTTATGGAGTAAAAGTAACGCAACGAAACGCCTTGTTCCAGGTCAGTGGCTCGGCTCGGGTTGGCTTGGCTCTAATGAGGTGAGATGCAGATGCTGATGCAGGATCATATGGACTGCATGAAGGAAGTGAAGTGAAGGAAAGCCCCGTCGGATCTTACTTGCGGTGGATCTTAGCTAGAACTAGGTAATGTACTTGAAGAACGGGTGTGTTTGCGAGGTATGAAATCGAGGAATGAAGTGCTTATAGATGATTGAATCATATTTGATCGTTTGGGGTTTTATATGAATTGGAGAGGGGAGCGTTGAGTTGGGGTCCAAATCTTACCCCACTTTCACCCACTTTCATGGTACTGGTTAACCTTAATGTGTCTACAGCTTCTAAGCAGGCTGGGTCTTATTACCTAGTGATGTACAAGTACTTGGTGTTTCATAGGGAGAAGATGAATGGACGAGGTTGATACTATATCTTTACCCCCCGTTTTCGGAAATATATATATTAATCGTGCTCACTGCTGACCCTCCCCACTCTGCTATCTTGTCCTCTCATTCGGTCTTTTATTGAAAAGAAAAGAATTCGGATAGCATGGGAAAAGAATTCTATTGGAGAGTATTGCCAATAGGCTGCTGTCAAGGTTAATTGGTAGACAAGTGTCCTTCGGATTGGCCCGTCCCGCTGTACATCTGCCTACTGTAGGTGTAGGGTAGGGTACGTATTGCTTCAGGCCCCAAGAAAGCAGCATTGGTATGTTCTACCTTAGACACCGCATGTCAAGTATATTACACTATGTACCTATGTAAGTAACCAATCTATCGTTTTATTCTTACATATGTATTCTCCGGATTGACCCTATTCGCACCACACGTCCCACCCATCCACGCCTGCACCTGCCATTCCCATTCCCATTCCAATCCCGATTCCAATCCCAATCCTCTGACCCTCAACGCTTAAGCACACCGTTCCTGACGCGTGAAAAGTGAGGCAACCAAAGAGCAGAGTAATCCGTAAAGTAGAGCGTAGTAAATGGCCGAAACGAAAGAGAATGGCTAGTGGTGGATGAATGGACGGATGGATGGTGCGTTGTTCACTCGCGCACCGCCCCAGCCACTTCCCTTCCCTTCCCCTCTCTCCTCCGAAGCTCTCTCTTTCTGCAACATCCTGACCGCTCCTGCGACCTCGTCCGTGCATCTGCATCCGTCTTCACTTCACCACCACCACCTAGAATTCAGTACGGATACCAGTAAAACTAGTATCCAGCATACATCATACAGCACGCAGTCCGCATACGCCTACGCATACGAGCATACTGCCTGCATGCGGCACGTCGAATAGGATACAGTCTAGCATTCAAATCCCCTACAAGTAAAGGCCAACAATTACACGACCGCCTCACTTCACATTCATAACAACCGTAGCACCCCAGCCCAACTCCAAACCTACGGCATGGCCCTCTCTTTCATGATGCCTACTCGAATGATGCCAATGCAATGATCTCCATACACCCTTACAAGAACAGGAGAGTGCCACTGCTCTTTAATAAACATAACACACCGAAACCCTACACATCCACCTCCCATCTCCACCTCCACATACATATACATATACGCCGTCGGATAGTTGCATGCTACACAAGCTCGGGCGTCTAGAAATGATCACCAGCCTCTCCTTTTGCTGACAGCCACAAACACAAAAGAGAGTGGCAATTCCAATTCCAGCTCCAGTTCCAGCTCCACCACCATGTATGCAAGATGAGACTTCCATTCTCTTCCCTTCCTTCCCCTCCTTCCCCTCCCATTCGGTCAAGTCGTAGTGCAGTCCATGGTAACTGACGATCTCCCGCACAGCTGCCGGGACCATCCCGACATCACAATGGCTCAAACCGAGAAGCCTCACACGAGAGCCGCATCCACCGACCAAAGAACTACCTGGTCCTGGAGGAAGCTATTCGGGAAAGACGATAGTGCCAGTACCACAGCTCCACCACAGCCCCTACAAGAGGATACTACACGGGCCGGCATTGCACGCAGACTCTCGAGAAAAGTCGTGCCCGGATTGCCTCGACCAGGAACATTCCGAAGACAGCAATCAGAGCTGCGAGACAAGCTGGAACCAAACACACCCAATGCTGATGAACGACGGACCGTCTCAGTAGACCGAAGGCGAAATGCCTCGTTCCGAAACTCGTCTGTAATTGTGGCTTCGAACCCTAGACTCAGTGCACCCGAGCTGTTGGAAACGACCGAGACGGTTGAGACATTGTTGGATAATCAAAAGGTGCCACCGGTTACTACACAAGAGGATGAGGCTCAGGAATACGTAGACGTCTCGAAAGAGGCGTCGGCTATTGACACGGCGTCTATATGTACAGAGGCGTTTGATGAAATGATACTCGAGGAGCTCGAACGAAAGTGGATCCTGAATCTCAGCATGCACTTCCGGGATAAGTCCAAGAGGGAGAAGTTCTTCGTTACCTTTGCAGAGAAACCCACGCATTGGAGGCGTGTGACTATCTCGTTGGATTATAGAGATTGTCCAGAGGGCTCTTTGGAAGAGGAGCTCATGCGGACGAGATTTCAACGAGACAAGAGTGCACGGATATATGAAGCTATTCGGGAATCGCTGCCTGATATCCAATTCTACGACACCGTGACAAACCTGAAATTACAGACCGAGAACGAACGGCTTCATGTGCATGTGGTCGAGGATCTCTCTGAGATTATTTCATATCCTCCCGTCAGATCTATCAATCATCTCAATTGTCGACGGATCCGAGAAGACGAACTTGTTTTTGAATCTCATCTCTCTGGTTTCGTCTACAAGGTTCAAGTTGATGGTCAGGTGTTTATCAAGAAAGAAATCCCCGGTCCTGATACGGTCGATGAATTCCTCTACGAGATCAACGCTCTTCATCAGCTTTCTGGCTCTCGCAGTGTGATCCAGTTTGGAGGCGTCGTTCTCGATAACAAAGGTGAGACTGTCAAGGGGCTTCTCATCAGTTTTGCAGAGCAAGGTGCGCTGATTGATGTCATCTACGATGGCGAAGGAAAGATTCCTTGGAGTCGAAGAGAACGGTGGGCAAGGCAAATTGTTCAGGGTCTTTCCGAAATTCACGAGTCAGGCTTTGTGCAGGGAGATTTCACTCTTTCCAATATTGTCATCGATGCATATGATAATGCAAAGATCATTGACATAAATAGAAGAGGATGTCCTGTCGGCTGGGAACCTCCTGAGGTCCGCGATCTCATTGAGAGCAATCAGCGCATTTCCATGTACATTGGCGTCAAGTCTGATCTGTACCAATTGGGAATGGTGTTGTATGCTCTGGCTACGCAACATGATGAGCCGGAAACGCAACGTCCATTGACTGTATCTGCTTTTCCTACGGAGATTCCCGATTATTTCCTAGATATTTGCCGTCGTTGTCTTCATGATGATCCCAGGCTCCGTACACAAGCTTCAACCTTGTTGACGTTTTTCCCGGAGATGGAAGAGCCGTACCAAGAGCCTTTACGTTCAGTCCCAATCGTGGTAGATGCACGCCACACGGATGAGAAGGCTTGTGGAAATGGAAATGGAAATTATCCCGAGAAGAATGGGTTCCTAAACTCACCGTATGGCCAACCTCCAGTACTGGATAGTTCCATCAACGTACACGATTATGCAGTAACAGATGTATCAGATACCTCAGACATCTATCCCCGCAGAGGAAGGTCTCCCCCTCGGCTGGAAATTTATGAGCCAGATGCTCCACTGCCAGTTTCTGGACCCGGCCCCGAATTCAAACCCCAAATATCTACCATCAGCTCAGAATATTTACACGAACAAACTACCGACACCCAAGGTGTAACAACAGAGCAAATACAGACCATATTAGCCCTTGCCTCAGATCTTCCAGACCAAGGACTACAGCACATAGAAGTACAAAAACCCGCGAACACGACAGAAGAATTGCCGCGGCCAACAGTAGCGGCCCATACACCAGATACGAGCACATTGCCAGGAGCGGATTTAGCAGGCGTTGGTGGTGCAGAAGGAAGCGCGCATTTTGAGATACCCCCTCCAGCGGCTTTAGATGAAAATGATTTGATGATTATGACTGATATGCATGAGCAAGCGATATAAGAAGGATGATTTTCAAGTTTTTGGTTTCTATGCATGATATGATTTACTGGGGGTGTAATATAGGATACCTGGCGACGGGTCTACGTATGGATGAAGGAATGGGAATGTATAATACGCGAGCATGTTGATATCTATATATGAGTGAGTATTGGAACGATTTATGGTTCATCTTCGTGATGTTATTGAAACTTGCCATCTTACCAACCGATAGTAACAGCAGTTTTGTATAGCAAGCGCGGTAAGGATGCAAGACGCTTGGGTTGGCAACTTGGCTGGATTGATGACGTCGATGGGGAACCTCCACTTCCACCACCTCTATCCGCCTTCAACTCTCAACTCACGTACTTGCACCTTATCTCCAATTCCGAAGTCTACGAACAAAACGCAAAATAGGAATACTCGACTTGGAGCAGGAACAGAAATTGAAATCGACAACAGACAGACCGACAGAAAGAAAATCACAATGCCAGAACCAGCACAAATCAATCGCTCTCTAAGCACGATCCGGACTGAACTCGAGTTCTTGCAAGCTAGCAATGTGTTGTCACCGCCTCAGATGCAGAGTATCTTGGCTCAATTACCTGTATGTTATTCCCGTTCTTCTCTTTTCTCTTCTGCCTCACACCCTTCTTTCTCCCTCGTATCATCATCTCACCCCTCCCACCACTTCCACTCCACTCCCTGCTTCTCAAACCAATCTACATATCTAACACCCCCAGCAAAACGGCGCCCCATCCACCTACATCGACCCACGCTACAATCCGCAGAAACAACTCGACCCCGCTCAGATAAGCCAGCAGGCGCAAGATCCTAATCACCCGGCTCACCCCGCCAACCCTAAACATCACGAGTGGGCTACGGGCATGGCGAAGCGGTTTGGCAATGCGGCGGTTTTTGGCGCGGGTGCGACGTTTGGCGGGGATATGATTAATGATGCTTTGCGGAAGTTTTAGGGAGGTGGTTGGGGTGTGGATAAAGGGGTGGGGTGGAGAGGGTCAATCCTAACTCTACTATGAAGTATTCTTCTTATATATATAGTATCTTATAATTACTAAGACAACTACTATCTGATATAATCTGTATATATTATCTATATTCTTAATAATTATCAAGAATAATAAAATCCTAAAATCTAAAATCTAAAAGATTTTGTAAAAATATATTATATAATATTAGAAATACAGCTTTCATGATAGTAGCCTACGTTTACTATTAAGTTTTTATTAGTTTTTAATCATAAAGAGACGTCTCAGTGACCGACCCGACTTAGTTTAGAGCATTGTGCCAACCGACTTCTTTATTAGGTGTTGGAGACCTACTCCTGGAAATAGATATCTTAAAAGTCTTGCAGGATTAAAGACAACGGTATATACATCGCAGCTTCAGCAAGCCACAGAGAAAAGGTTCGTTGATCTAGAGGGAAAGGAGCAGGAAGTTGATGTTATTATTTGTGCTACCGGGTTTAATACTATATATAACCACGTTTTCCGCTCCTGGTGAATAGGATTGACAAGAGAGGAATAGAATATCCGTCAACATGCGCTCCTATATCTCAGTCTAGCGTTTGCTCAAGTACCCAACTACTTTGTATTCAGAGTCTATGGTCCAACAGCACATAGATTATTCTTCCCTCTTATACAGAAAGCTTGTGAGTATGCGTTGCAGGTTATTGAAAGATGCAGGTCGAGAATATCCGCACTTGGAGGCCAAAGGCAAAGGTTGTAGAATAGTTCATGCGATATTCGGACACATTCCTGAAATGCAAATCTTTTACTAGATCATGTTCGAGTTGGTTCAAAGGTGGATCTAAAGATAGGAAGCCAGCTGTCTGCATTTCCTCAGGTTACTTGAACACCCAAGATACGAGGACTATGAGTTTAAATATGATAAGCCGGAGGATCTGTTTCAGCTTTTTTGGAAGCGGCTTCCATATATCTGAAAGCAACGGAGCGGATATCACTTGGTATTTGGGCAAGCTAGAAAAAGAGGTCGATGAGGCGAAGGTACAAGAAGTCATGGACAGGCTTAAAGGCTTAGAGATCAAGGGGTCCGAGTCAAGCAAGAAATTAATAGCGCTGGCTAGAAATTGAAGATTAGATTAGAGGGGAAAGCATACTTTGTTTTCTGTTCGCTAGCCTTATTATATTAGGTCTATGCATTCTCATATGTGACTAAGGTTATCCTTAACGAGATTGTTACGCAGTGGACAAATTAAAGATAGGAAACATATTAAAGTGACTCTATATGCTTATCATTTATTGCTTATTAGTTGCTAGATTTCGACTTATAATTACCTGAAATGAGACGCTTCCAAACACCATCTGCAGCAGAGACAAGCCCGGCTATGAATTCTCGGGAATTAGTAACAAACTTGTGCCGCTTGCTTATCCCTTGGACAAAGACAGGCTGTAAATATTGCTTCCCGTGTTCCGGTGCTTGAAGCTTCGTATCAGTTGAAAACACTATCTTGGGGCAACTTCCTGGTGGATCCTCTTCTTGATCGATAACAGCACCAATCCTAATAGGAAAATATCTTGCGTCCGAGTCACCCTCTGGCCGCTGACACATTGCCTCGATAGCACTGCTGTTGAATGCCATGAGTGGGAACTTGGCGGGTATATCTTTATAATGCCTCAAGCTAGACAGTAGCAGCAATGCTACCACCAAAGCTAAGCCAAGGGAGATGGACATAAGAGCTCCCAGGTGTGAAAACCCTCTTGCGGAGTAGTCGTAGACAGGAAGACGCGCGCCATCCGGCCCTGGGCCAAAGGCACTTGATTGGACGAGGAAGATGCTCTCAGATATGAGCCAGTGCAGTAGGATGGACAACATCATAAGAGGAATCGAATATTTAAACGGCAAGGACAAGGAATAAGATGATCGCTGCATACCCTCCGGCGACGATACCCGCAACGCCTTTTTGCCATTCTCTTGGACAAATCGCACCCATTCATCGCCTAGCACTTGGTGCGTGAGGATGTTATTGTAAAATATGTAGAGAAAACTGACCAGAACTTGTGGACTATTCACAATTAGAATGTTGCCCAGAAGCGCCGCAGTTCCGGTGTTGCTTATGCTGCTTAGAGAGCCAAACCCGCTGGCTATTGTAACTGGGTTTACTCTGAGGCCTTGCTGCCATATCGATGCGGGGCTCACGCTGATACCCTCAAGATGAAGGTATCTCATCGAACTTGCGATAAACCATAAGCTGACTCCCAGTCCCGCAGCAAACCTAGTCAATCGTCAGTTTCGATTATATTTGAACAATTAAATGCCTGATATCAGCCATAGTATATAAATTAAAAACGACTCACGAAGTAAGCGAAACTATCCATATGGTTATACTAATAGTATTAAACCATGGGATTCGGGGCTCAACTAGCCAAATCGCCATTTTAACCTCCACGGTTCCCGATTTTTGGATCCTTGGTGTATTCTGGTCGCCCGTTTCAGTAATATGCAGGTGTGGATCTTCAAGGAAGCTGGAAATTGCATCACCCATAGTGACAATAGTCCGCTTCCTCTTGTTATCTTCTGGTCTTACATCGCGGAAATGGTAGAACGAAGTCCAGTAAATTAAGAGGGCCTCGAGGAAAGTGCAGCAACACACAATGCCTATTAGATATGTGCTGTAATAAAGCCCACACCTATCTGCATTGCTTCCTTCGGGACCCGTCAAACAGTGATCGACTCGTACTCCTCTCGGCCAAGCCAATGTCCAGTCGCTAGCGAAAGATTTGGCGTAGTCCCAGTTGCAGTACTTCCCTTTCTTCGCGTATGCCCGGCAGATCCAGGAGCTAGACGTATCCCATTGTTCCCAACCGGATACCCAACCATCAATCAGGGAGGAGTCGTTGTTCTGCACCGAGCTCACGTTGCGGGCTACGATGATAAGTGAGCCAGTAGGTATCATGGGGTTGATGTAGTGCTCTACACAGGCCTTCGTATCCAGATAGGTAAAGTTTGCGGCTACGTCTTGTAGGGAATACAACATCGATGTGTTTCCAGATGCCTCTCCATATCCTGGCGATTGACGCCACCACGAAAGATGCGAGAGCGGGTCCGAGATCGTCCAATTATCTCCCGCTGTGTAAAAGTCACTTGTAACTACTACGCGTGGGATTACTGCGACTGGCAGGGATGTGAAGATGGAAGAGTTCCAGCTAATTTGCTCTGTTAGCCTCATCGTGCCTAGGAAAATAACACTTCATATAAACTTACAAGATGTGCAATATCATCGCAATGAAACCAATGCACGCCCAGGCCACAGCTCTGGTCCACTTGACATGTCGCAAATTCTTCACGCTCGGAACTCCAATGTCTAGTGCTTTGCCTTTCCGGTGCGCGCCAGCTATTTCCTCGCGCGATGGCGCAATAAGAATTTGCATACAGTAATTTCCGGCACCAAGAAAGAGAGATGATATGATGTTGAGGAGGACATGCAAGGCGCTGTTGGTAGTAGCGGCACTGGAACAATCGCTATAGGAAAAGGTTCCCACCCCCCGATAATCCGGAGGATGGCCTAGGATGGCCCAAAGCATAATGCTAATATTGATGGCCACTATTGAAGTGGCTATTCCCATCTGAATCCTCAGCATTGTGGTCCTTTTGGCCATCTTGACCCTTAGTGTAATGGCGCGTTCATTTTTGGGGTCGAGTTCGGGAATATATTTAGACAGGTATTTTGCTTTTGCATAGCGATGGAGCCTTGTCTTTATCAGTAACATAACACCTTAAGTGTCGGGTCTTGGTTTGAAGAAACTCACCTGGTTCTAGACAGCTAGTCTGGTAGCAGTTGTGATTGTTCACCCTCGTCCCCCTCAAGGTTGGCTCTTGTTTCTCCTTCCTCTCGCAGTTCGCAAATACCTGGAGTGTCGCTGATATCTGATACCAGCGACATAATAGATCGTTCCTCTATCACGTTATAACAACGGACGTCTCAAGCGCCTAATCCCGTTAGTAGAGAAGGTTAATCCTATGATAATTATATATGTGCCGTGCATTCCCAGTAATAGGAGGCTGTTTATATTTGTGACAGATAATCATTACAAGGCTGTGCAGCGCTAAAGGCAGCATGGGGGCCGAAATGTTCTCAGCCACGAATCCTCCATGCATATGATAGGGTATTAGGGGCTCTTGATTCAATCAGATCGGTCTGCCTGCGCCGACGGCGTCTAGAGTATTATGCGAACTAGCTGAGAGCAGACGAGAAGCCGGAGTACTACCTAGCATCGAACTTTATTTACGCCCTCCACTTGCTTAAAAAGTTGTACCTCGAACACTCGGATCTTCTAGGTCAGCCGTGATATAAGGGCATTCGGGTATATAGATATACATAGAGATCTTGGCCGGCTTAATAAACCTTTTAGCGTGATTCGGACGCATATAGAGATATAAGAATAGGCCTGCTTATATAGAGCTTCTGGCGTGACTTAGACGACTTAGCATTAAGGCTCTATAAGCGAGAGGATTTGCAAAGCTGTTAGTGATGCTTTATAAGAGAGCTGAGGTTATATCATATGCTCTGCAGATTGATTATAAGAGCTGAAGTTGCAGAAAGGATATAATATATTTAATATATAAGAAAATAAGCATAAAAGTATATTAGCTGAAAGGTGATAGTTTTAGCCAAAATCAAGTAATATTCTTATAGTATTATAAACTAGTTTTATATAAAAGTTTTATTATAAATTTAATAGAAAACTAATAATATTTATTATAATATTTATTATAAGATTAAATTTAATT